ATATATTAAGTTAATTAGATATAACAAAAAATTGTTAAAAATAATAATTTAATTAATAGTATTAATTATATAAAAACATACTTATTAAAAATTTATATTGTTAATTAATATATTAAAATAATATATAGTAATATTAAATAACTTGATTTTTAATATTTAACAATATTATTGTTTTATTTTTTATTTAAGAATATTAATTTAAAGTTTTATAAAAAACTATAATTAATTTATTTTTATTAAAAAAATTAATATAAATAAGATTATTAATTTTTATTTATATTTATTTTAACTATATGATTATATAAATTCAAATTACAATTCAAAATTTAAATATTATATCATTTTTTTATCATCAATATTTATATAATTATTTATAAAGAAAAAAATCAAAATTTTAAAAAATTTTTATTTAATTTGTTATTAATAAACATATAATTAAGATTTATATATTTTTAATATATTTGATATGATTATTATTTGATACAATTAATTAAGTTATTATTAAAACATATTAATAGTATTAAGCATTTTGAAAATTAAATTATTATACTGTATACAGTATATAAATATTAATATATTTTAATTTAATTTGTTACAAGATTTAATATTTAATAATCAATAAAAAAATATAATATATATTAAAAAAAGTTTATTAATATTAGATTAACAAACCAAAATTATTATAATTTTTTTATATAAACAAATTTATTTTACAATAGATTGTAATAATAAGATAAAAAGATTTATTATTTGATTTAATTATTTTTTTTTTATAACTTATTACAATTTATTTATAATTTACAATATTTGATATCCAGTTATTGTATTAATTAAGCTAAATCAAATATAATTTTTATATTTAAATTATTGTTATTTTATATTTAAAGAAATTGATAATAAACTATTCGAATATGCTATATTATTCTTATTTTTAGTAATTAAATATAGTGTATAACATGTTGTAATATATATTTTTTGCATATTTTTAATTAATACAATGTGAAACAAAAAAAACAAAAAACTTTTTTTTCTACTTTAGGATATACACTGTATGAAAAGGGTAATCGACAAAAAATCAATAAGAATAACAAATTGATTTCATATAGATAACAAGATCTTGAAATTTTGATTAGATCGATTTTATTTTATGTAAAAAATGATATTGTTTGCAATCAGGTTGAAAGTATTAACAATTTTGTTTTCTTAGTTTGTTTTTTTTTTGTTTAAACAAGTTTTTTTTTTTTTTCAATTATGCGAATCCAAATAATCATAACAACAATCCTTTCAAAATTCCGATTCATTTTAAATAGATGGGCAGCACATCTATTTCCAATACCATACTTAAGGGGGTAATATGCCAAAGATAGGTGTGTTGTTATTGTATGCTTTGTATTGTTTTCTTGTCTTTGCATTAAGATTTTCTGAAATGACACTCGATTTGTACTGTATATGCTTAAATTTTAACAATCGACACACACACACATTTTATTTGTTACCGAATTAATTTCTTAATTTAGTTTGGTGATTTTCTTTTTTTTATTACTGTAACATTAAATAATACTAACTTTTTTCAGTATTTTTGTCGATAATCGAAAAAGTGTGCCACAAAAATATCAAATGAAAATGATTGGTTCTTTTTAGTTTCCAAAAAGATTTTTTATGAAACTCAATCTCAATAACCTAAATGTCCATAAGAAAAGAAAGATAATACAAACAATAGACGTCTAAATTTTTTTGAGAGTGAAGGATGTGGTTTTTCTTACATGGACGAACAAATCAAATAAAGAATTTACATATGTTGATCACGGTATGCGATCATTTTTTTTTTTAAATCTAATGATGTTAATGGCATATATATTTTTTTTTTTTAGATTAGCGGGTGTTGTTATAAACATTTTTTTTTTTAAGCTAAGCTTGATCAAATATGATACACGCAACGCAATGCCTTTCATCTTTTAAGAGAGAATCAACTACTCTTAATCTCAACATGATCTCTGTCAACGTGTGGATCAACGCACGCTTTTAAAATGTTGACCAAGCCCAGTTAGCTGGAACCGTAGGGGTTCTGCCATAGGTGACGTCTGTTTGTATCAAAAAGTAATGAGAAATTATTGGTCATTTTGTGTGTACTTTTTTCTTTGTCCGTCAAAAAAAAAAAAAAATTCTTACCGAATTGCTTTCGTTGGTATGGATTTATATTGTTAAAATCTATATAAATGTTTAGAATTTCGTTAGAAACATTTATTTTATAATAATAATAATAATAATAATAAAATTTATATAATGATCTAAATGGTTTAAATGGTTGACCCAAACTTACCCTCTTTGAGGATATCCTCTTCCCGAGTGGCATGCCTTGTGTTATCTTCAAAACCGTTGCCGATGCTCATTTTATTGGTTCGACATTCCCTCACATCGTCCTCCTCAAAATATCCAATGTGGTGATATATGGCTGGCTCGGGATATTTACACCTGTATAATAATCTATTGTAATCATCGTAGCACTTATCGCAGACCCTGGAGGCAAATCCGGCCAAGTTAAAGTGCGTATTTTGATCGAGTCGAATGTAATGTGAGCAATGAGCACCACAAAATATGTCTCCGCATCTAATAAAGAGGTTATCGCATTAATATACATTTTTGATCGAGGAGTCGGAAGAAAATTTACAAACATACCGTCTACAATGATGTCTACGTTCGAACAAGTTAAACTCGCGATTACAAAATGTCATTGCACATTTCGTGGCTTCGGAATCGTGCTAAACCCGATAATTAATGGTACCACATCAATTAATATCAGGATGCGTGTTTATGACATGGAAATAATGCAACCACTGAAATGCCAACCTTCCAGTGGAAACGGGTTGGCGGTCCAGCGGCTCGCCCACAAAACAATATGGCAGCTTCGTCAATGGTTTGTTCCATATTTTCTTTTCCGTTCAAGTAACCAACCTTTCCGGAGGTCATCGGTCGTACTTTATTTGTTTGAGAGGGAAACTTGGAACGTCCAAAGGCATGTAAGTCCATTTTTTTTCAACTTCTCCTTTATAATTAAAACACTCCAAAATGTATGTAATTAATGTATGTATATATACAATTTTATGCAAAGGTAAAAAAGTGTGGATTAATTGCAAAGGCGCGGTGATGAGGTTAATGGTTTATATAGCGGTCAAAATCGGGTCACAGAGCATAATTTTTGCGTAATGCTCATTTGCTCATTTGTCCATTTTTCATTGTGGAAACACCAATTGATTGTTGTGTGATACTATTTTCAGCGGATTCGTCCTTAAACATCAATCCATTTAGGGTTCAATTTATGACGGATGAAACTTTGTTCATTTCGAATGTCCGATCCGCACTTCCAAAAGTGCCAAAAATGATAATCATAATGGACACAAATTTGTCGCACAAATCCGCTTATTTCTGCGTACTTCGCTTCTGATCCGGAAGACACTAACACCCAACACCGTAGCGTAGCTTAAATTCTTGTGAAACATTACACCATATCATTTTTATCAGTGTAACCTCATGCAATTTGATAAGATTCTTTAACATAATTGTTGATAATAAAATTAATTGTAAACATGATCAATCTTATAAGTAAAACCGGTTGGCTGAAAATTTGCAACGATAATGATTATCAACGTTGGCGCAAAAAAAAAAAAAAAGAGTCGTTTTTATTTTTACTAAATTGGTATGGACAAGTTGCTGCATCATTAAAGAATGCTGCATGAAGAGCTCTTCGAAACAGAACGTTTTGCTACTAGTTCGGCGAGATAAACCTAAACCCTAACAAGTCTTACACCCGTGTGAACCCCCACAATCTAAGACAACGACAGACTGCGGGGGTGCCTCAATGACTTCTTATCTTATCTCGGC